AATATAATATACAAGTTTCACTTTTTAAATGGAATTACTGAAATCAATCTACTTTTTCATGATATTCTAATTTTATGACCAGCACCTGTAAGAGGTCAAATAAAAGGAGGTAATAAAAGTCATTAAATAAGGAAACAAAACATAAAAAGTGAAAATAATTGCATAAATAAGTCTAAAAACATAAAAGACTAAACAAAAGAAAGAAAGTGATCACTTTATATCTGCAAAAGACGTCTGCTTTCACTTTAATTGTAACTGCGTCACATTTTCTAATAACTGAGCTGCATGAAAAATAGTTGTCCAGTTGTTTGTTCTAACAGAAAAGGCTTAACTGTGCCCAACGTTTAAACATACTTGGTCGAAAAGTTGTTAATTATTACAGAACAATTTGTTACGTAAACAGTGGATATAAGAGAAGTTTCAAAATTTGTAAGACAACATCTAAAAGTTTCAAAACAAGTTTTTCTTAGCAAAAGCCCCCTCCCTTTTCTTCTCTCCTCCTATGAGCCTGTCTGTGTGTGCGCTGACACACACACACACACCGAGCTGGAAGCTTAAAAACGCCACGACGTTCTGTATCTGTTAAATAGGACTATATGTTATTATAAACGAAACTATGTTAGAAGCCGGCATGTGTCTGTCTGTCTGTCTGTCTGTATGTTCTTTGTCTGTCTGTCTATTCTATGTTGTTTGTTTAATGTCAACATGTCTGTCTGGGGATAAAATATTAGTTCTATTATGTTTCAGTATATACAGATCAAAAGGAGAATTAAACAGCAGATAATTAGATTACAGTTATGTTAAAACATAGATTAATATGACAATAAGCATAAAATCCCATGAAGAACTGGATTCTCTCTATGCATCCATGTCCGGACATATGATGAGAAAGGTATGCAGGAAACCTGTTGCTGAAAAAGTCAAATTTCTGCACATTATTACTATTTGGATGCATTTTGAGTAATTCAGTAATGAGTGGGACCAAAGTCATCAGAAAATACTACAAGACAAACAATGACAAAACTTTCTAAAAAGAAAATACAAATAATGTGCACAAGAAATATCATCTGGTCTAGACAACTTCTATTATAAAGTGTTTGGTTTTAGTTATATTTTGTTTATGTTGTTTTGCAAATGCTATCGATGTTGCTGTGATTTCTGGAGGTGAACCTTGAGAGGAGCTGAAATTATTGATTCAAAGTGTTGATCCTCTTTTTCAAATGTTTATAAAAAGTGAAAACTATGGTCGATTTTATAAGAAATATATTGATTAATACATTTACATCTTACTATGTCTTGAAATTAACATGTTAAAGGTTAGAAAATCAATTTGTACTAAAAGTTCTGTAACCCCCCCCCCCCCCCCCCCTCCCACCTTCCACCCACCCAGTAAGGTCCAAAATGGTTCTGGGTTCTGTCCCGAGGCAAACGGAAACTCAACACACACACATTTTCTACACACACACATTATGCCTGACTCACACACAGCTGCTTGTTTTCGCTGAGAGGCAGAAGGAGAAGCACAGTTTCCAGAGTGCACACAGGGGCGATCAAAATAGAATTAGGGCCCGAGGGTTTAGAAGCATTTTTAACTGAAAACAATGTACTGATTGTTACACTAGAATGATATTGTTGACAGTATGTAAAGGGACTGATTTTTAAGCTTATATTTGATTATGATAAACCCCACATGATTAGACAAATCCTTCCTTTGCACATAGATGACAGAATTAGATTACTCCTGAGTTATGTTGATCTTACTGTAGCAAAGTGAATAAGTGAAACACTAATTATTAAGAATACTTAAAGGTGAATTAAAAAGAATATTTAAAGGTGAATTTTCAAAAAGAGCAAGTTACATTTATGCTGAGGATTTCTTAATGTAATTAACTTTTGATGAAACTTGAAACAGAACAAATACAACTCAACAATTATTAGGGGTAAGAGATAAATAAAATGAAGTCCTTTTAACACCTTGAAGCAAAAGCTGGAAAGTGGTTTTGCTATGGGAAAATTATGATTTATAAATAGTTTTTCATAAAACAATTAACAAGGCAAATTATTTTCCATGAACTTAATTAAACTTAAAACAGTATTGTGGTTGTCTTAAACATGGGGTGTTGTGAGAGACGTGCATTATTATTTACAGAGTAATGAAAAATGGTATGTAGACACAGGAGTTGGATGAGTTTGGCTGAAAGGTTAGGATTCGGTGCCCTGAGCCCAGGGGGGCTCAGAGCGGCACGAGAGTAGTCCAGACTTGTGACCAGCTGATTACTAAATGCCGAGGTGAGCCTGGTGAACTGAAGCCGTGCAGCCGAGACCGAATGAGGCGGAGACTGGAGGAATCACGGTCATCTAGCCGAAGCGGCTCGAGCAAAGAACACTGGCAGAACTAGAAAGTGCTGCAGCTGACATGAAAAGCTTGGAGGGAAGTGCTGGCCTTGTGGTTAGGGCATAGAGCTTGGAATCCTGCGGTTGCGAGTTCGAAACCCTTGTCCACAGACTGCCACTCTGGGTCTCTGAGCAAGACCCTTAACCCTGACTGCTCTCTGGTGCCCAACAATGGCAGCCACTGCTGAGATCAATAAAACTTCAATTAATTATTAAGCTCGGCCAAAATAGGAGATGGTTTCTGTTGCTGGTTGCTGGACGTGAAGAAAACACTGCAAAAAGCCAAACACATCAGATATTCAAATTAACACAGCTTTATGGTCAGAGTAAGTGAATTATGGTTTATTTATGTAGAACAGCAGAGATCAGCAAAACATTTACATTTACATGGTATCTAAAATAACATCTATTCTGTCTGAAAAAACAACCTATAGGTTTTACTGTACTTCTAATTCGAAAGCATCTATTGCAAACCAAATACAATCAAAATTGGTAATCAACGCCTTAGAGCAGTTGTGATTATCTTAATATAAGATTACATTCCAAACTATTTTGTAACATCATAATGCATTACGTTCTGGTTCAGATACTTTCTAAAACAAACGCTTAACAAAATATGGTCAGCATTTAATATAGAGTGATGTGAAGTTTGCTGAGCACATTATGAGACTTAGAACCAGCATGAGGAAGAATATCTCATATCACACTTAGTAGAGACATTTTAAGACTTAGAGAGAACATGCTGATCAGTTCATGCAATTAGAATTAAGTAACACTGAGATTTAGATAAGTTAATAACATTAGAGTAAGAGTTTGTCCTTTCTTTTCTTTTCTTTTTTCTGTTCATCTTAGAAAAGCTTGTTTCCAGCTTTGGGGGACAGAACTCACACTGACATTCTGTGTAAACCTGCTGATGTTTACTTTACAAAGACTGAATTAGTATTGGGAAAACTATAAGCAGTAATTGATAAGCCTCAAAATGTTCAAAATATGTTACTAATTGCCACTATGTAAATCATTACAACGGTTACATCCTGAATTCTATGGGATGTTGTTTGAACCTTATTTTACTTTTAGTTTGTTTTTGGAACAGTTAAGTTGAAAAACCACCAGCTATGATTTGTAAAGATTCAGCCAACAGTGAATCTACAGATGTTATTTCAAATATTACAAATCAGTTTTCTTCATTATGACTATATTCTATATTAAGGTTGATAAACATGATGTATTCATTGATCACAGGTTTGAATGGAAAAGATCAAACATTTCCAGACCAGTTTTTTTTAAGTACAAAGGTTCAGCCTCCTTAATGCAAGACACAATTTGGACCAGGTTTTAATTGCACATTCTGCATTAACAACGTACTAATTATTCTGCTTTAAGTTTCTCTTCACAGACGCTGCTAAACCTGAAACCTTTTCTGAAGGAAGACTCACGGTTTGTGCCAAATGTCATAGTCAGGTAGGAAAACTATTAATGGATATTACATAGAGCTCAGCTGCTAATACTTTGGAATTGTTCCCAAATTCAGTGATTTAAAACAAACAGTCTATAGTATTAAGAACTAAATCAGAAGAGAGAGACATGTGAAAATTATGTGACGATGTCAGAATAGGTCATGATTCAAATTAATTGAATAGAAACCTTCAATATGAACCTCCTAGTGATTATCTGGGCACAAAGTACAATGTAAGATTAACATGTGTACCTGTAAACTATATGGAATATAAATATTAGAGAATGCAAAAGAAGCTGCTAAAAGTAAATAAATCAGGAAAACTAAAATTAAGACTGTCTACAACATAAAAAATAAGATAAAAATTAAAGCAGCAGAAGCCTATGCAGTATTTAATGACAATGAATTTCCATAAATTAGAGATTCTATGAATCCTTAAATAATGCACTAGATGTACCTCTGTAAAAACTTTAAGTAAAACTAAGAAATCAGCATTCAGACTAGTTTCACAATAATAATCCAGGACGTTTATTGAAGTGAAATTTTCTCTCCCCCAGCATTAGGACTAGCTGTTTACTCAATAAAATACAGAAATAGAGAATAATGTTTGAAATGTTTTTGTACAAAATGTTACTTTGATTTTGAATAAAACTCTTACATCCTAAAGTGAGAGCAACATGTATTTACTTCAATATATGAGGAAGTTATCCTTTTGAGGAAACTAACAAATAATGCTGGAAACAGAACAAAGAAGCAGATCTGGTTCAAGAAGTGAAGAACCGATTATATTAATAGATGTAAGAGGTTAGTTATGCTTTAGATTACATTAGATGATTCTACGTGAAGCGTAGAATGAAAACTGTTTACTTCACTAAAGATTAGTATAGAGACAGATCAGAATCCTAAATGCAGATGACAAAAGACCTAAAACAGATTATAGGCTAAAACAGACTAAATACAGTGCTAGCTCAAAGCCAAATAAAGTATGTTAATACTTACTCTAATATCTTTGTGTTTCGAAAGACATTTTTTTCTGTCCGCCTCTCTCTTGGTTGTTTCATGGAGAGAGGAAAAAGTCACTCTGCATTCCAGTCTGATTAAGCAACTTCTGTGCGCCGTCGCACACACTCTTTCAAAGTCCACAGGAAGAAAACCTTTCATTTTTTCTAGCTTGGCAAAGAACTACAGGAATGATTAAGGTTAAAGTGGATACACTAACTTGTTTATGAATATCCAAGGCGAAACGTACAATCTTGAAAAGGGTTACATTCCTGGTTATCTGCACCGAGCCAACTAATATTTAACAGAATAAACATTATAATTATAGCTCAAATGTATCTATGCAGGGTTTGCAAGATCAAGGATTAGTTTAATTTAGAAATCAGACTTTACACAAATGTGATGAAAAGTTAAACATAATGTCTGTCTCCAATATGTAACGCAGATTGTCACACATGTTCTTAATACATTTCTAACAGTAAAACACTGATAAAAACAGGCCTTACAACTGGAAAAGCACCTTAAGATTTGAATTCAGGAATATTATGTAAGTGTGAGATTATGTGATCCAAGTGTATAAACTGTCCATTAAATCCTAGATCTAGATGTCTTTACAAATGTTGTTATAAAGCTCAGAAAGCCAGAATGCAGATTGTATTTAAAATAATGTAGGATGGCACTAAACTTGCTTCCAGAGGAAAAAGGATTTTTGCTTATATTCTCATTATTACTATACTGCTAAAGTTTTTACTACTTTTACTACTCTTGTGCATGAAAACCCTGGTTAATAAAATTGGAACAGACGGCTAAGATAATAAGAGAAAATATTTTCAGTGTTTAAAATTTTTTAGGGCAAAGATCACCAAATTGCCCCCAGATGATGCCTCCACCCTGACAAAATGGCTGAGCCTCGGTACGCTATGGAGCCTGAGAAGAACACCTGAGAGCTGAGAGCGGTTTGACTATATTATTTCTTGTATTTTCTTCTACAATCTAATTCCCATGAAAGAGGAACCTGTTTAAGGGTCGCATTGTAAATTGAAATTATTATTTTACTCATGTTTTTTTTCTTTCCTTGTGTCATTAACATATAATTGGGGATTGATGCACTTCGAGGAAAAGGACCTAGGAACTCTGTGATGAGAAGGACCTTACAGAGGAATAGAAAAGGTGATGAAGTTCCATTGTATTTATCTCACACTTAGCTGTGTTAACAAGTATTTAAATTATAAGATTCCTGAAAGTATTGTGGAGCATTTTTTAGGCTGTAACACCGATTGCACAGTAGGACTGGACTGCCATTTTCTTTGAGTAAAGGTTTCTCCTGTTTTTGTTATCTTAGGAAGGTAAGATGATTGTAATTTATTTCATGTTTCTTTAAACAGGTAAGATGATTCAACAAAAGATAGACTTTTTATTTGTTGTTTTGGCCTGAGGTCCAATCTGAAGTCCTACAATCGTGTTACATGATTTATTTCATTATTATCAGAAAGGTTAATTCTCTGAGATTTAAATTTTACAGTTTATTGGAGGATATTTGGAAGTATTAATAATTGCAGATAAGAGAGAAGATACACCAAGAGACAATGGGACTTTACTGCAACAATCAAAAGTTCTCTTATTTTAATTTGAACATTCATTGCAGAAAATGGTCTCATGAAAAACAGGATGTGTTACATCTCTAGATTTCGTTTCAAGATACTGGTCAGTTTTTTTTCCTCGCAGGATAACATCTGATAGTGAGATTTAAGGACACTGGGACAAGGACTGCCCTCACTCTGGATCCACATAAGCCATGGACACATGAACGATATGCGAGGCCCAGGGGACCACGACAACCAAGGAGCAGACTGACTGAACTCAAATATTAAGGGAGGTACATCAAAGAGTAATGAAAGGACAAGAGGACCTGCGAACTCTAGCTACACGTCAGAAAATGCAACACCAAGGAGCCACCAGGAGATGGACGACCGACAGGATCGGATGTGATGAAAGCATCACAGGAGGGAATGGGATCCTTCTCCAATTGAATTAGATAAGTCAAACACTACGTACAACAATAGGATTGGAATAATATGAATATTATTGTCTATGATTAGTTGATATTTGCTGATAAGAACGCTAATTGTGGTTTTTCTGTCTTACTCATTTTGAGGGGATGGATTGTAAAGACCGGTGACTCCAGGCATAAGACTGCAAACCTTCAACTTCTGCCTGCAAAATACTAAAGGCGGGAAGCGGTGATCCTGTGTTCATGCCTTTAAAAGCCAAGGACAGAGCCCTGAAGTGAAAGAACTATATTTTTGATTTTTTTCAACAGGAAAGAAGACCACACAAGTATCGATTATTATTGTATTCTGTAAATATAAACCTGATGATTGTAACATGCCATTGCTTTGCATTATAATCTGTATTACTGTCTTATTATTTTACATTGTAAACCATACATGGGCCGCTGTTTAGAGGACTGGGGACTCAGACTACTGACTGACTGACCTACTTAATTTTTCTTTTTCTTTCATTTACCTAGCCTTATATACTACAATACACTATAACTAAGTTCGAGTTATTTGAAATGTTTTGAATAGTTATCCTTCACATATTAAGTAATATCAAGATTGGGTTGAAGGGTTCAAACAGTGTTGGTTTCACAGATCATCATGAGTAGCATGGTCAAGATGCGATTTGTGCTACGGCCGACGCCGGAGGAAGGATGGATGTTTGGGGGAAGCATGGGTCGATGGGATAGTTTCCTCTTACATGAGTTTGAAATGAAAGAGAAAGATGCCCACAGGACGAAAAGGGGTTTTCGATCCCATACTAATCGAATCATGGCCATGTGGAAAATGATGATCTTTCTTTGAAGGTTCAGTAATATTCACTTTAGTTTTGTTATTAATCATGACACTTTAATTTTCATTTAATTTGTTTTTCTCAACTTGCATCCATACTGGGCTGCGTCGGTAACACTTAGATACCGTTTCATTTAAACTTCACATACACGTAAGTGCACTTAGTTGCGTGATATTACCATCACTATGCAAATTCTCATTAGTACTTCATTTTCAATGAACTACAGGAGGGAATGTAGAAGCGAATTGTGTTGCCTCAGGTCATCGTGACCTTAAGCTCACAATAATTGAGAACACAGAGCAAGCAGTCTGGGAGCCACGTACACATTTTGGCAATAACATGTGTTCACAGGCGATAAGCCGAGTACAAGTCTTGAAAAACAAAATCATTAGGCCCACTCAAAGGCCCACTCGCACGCAATCCGGTCACAAGCCAAGAACTTCCAGGAAATCTAATCAGAGCGTCCAGTCGTGCACATACATCCACACAGTGCAATGTTGAAACTATATAAACGCCCAGATTTGAAATGGGAGTTGAGAAAAGCTAGATGTGTTCTGTTGAAATGTTCAGCGCTGTGTTACGTGTACTGAGGACAGCATGTCAATTTGATCTATAAAATAAACGCTTCTTCTCCCGTCCTGGGGCAAGCAGATGATCGACTGAAGGTGTCCTGATTTTTGATATTTCACCATTGAAAACCACCACACTACCTACCTACCTACCCACCCACCCACCCTGGCAGCATCATCAGCCATGTTCCTTGTGCTCCTCCAGTGTTGAAAGCGAGAGGCTTTTTAGCGCAGTCTTACTCAGCATTGATAAACACAGGAGCAGGCTGACACCTGAGCATCTTCAAATGCTCGTCTTTCTAAAAAAGAATCTCCCCATCATGCTTGGACAGCAGTCAGGGCAAACAGTTGAAGGGAGTGTGTAGATGGAGATGGAGACAAGGTGTGGAGGAGATCGGGGAGTATAAGACATTTTTGAGTAATAGTTCACAATATTTGCACTGATTTTTTAAAGTAGTTTTGTTTTCAAGAGCAGAGTACTGATGCTGAGTTAATAGAATATTTTCCACTCTTGTGTGTTTTGCTTTTTTATTACAACTTACAGTAATACTTGCACATTTTACAGTTCACTGTTTTATTGTTCACTGTGCCATTTCAGTTTGCTTTTCATAATTTTGTCTATTTTGTGTTTATCTCTGAATAAACGGGTAAGTTTGTTGCTGTTATCAACTATTGTGTTTTATTCAAACTCACCTACTTCAGCTGGCTAGATGTTATCAAGAGTATTAAAACCCTTTTCAACATGAGCCTTAAAACTAAGAAATAGGCTAAATAACTTTAAACTTAAATACAGGCTAGGAGAATCGTATTGGTATCGACCAGTATCTGTATCGGATCGGAAGTACAAAACCTGGATCGAGATATCTCTAATCAGGACCTGTCATTGAAATCCGATATCAAAGAGGATTCTAGAATTTCCTTCTTTCTTCTACAGAAATGTTTATTTATTTATTTATTTTCTTTGGAGAGCTTGTTTGGAAAAGTCTCCTTAAATGCATTGCTTCATCTTTAACTTTGTATTCCTGCTTTTGTGTGCTTAAAAGGTACTATCCACACTATCCACGGTAGAGTAAACATAATCTTTCTATCTAATTGACACTAAGCTTATAGTTATTACTATGTCAACACTGGATTTCTGCTGCCTTTGAGCCTTTGGAGTGGTTGAGTTGGCCCACATTAAGGTCTGCTTTTCCATTCCACCCAGTCGTCTGCTGCCTGTACACATATAGCTGGACTAGCTCCCATACTCTTAGAGCCACATGTGCACAATCTCAGAGACCCAAGGAAACACTCAGACACACACTCCCAACTGCCTTATTTCCATCCTATGCTTCTCTCATACATACACACATTATGCTCCAATATTAGACAATTGTTCCAGGGCCAAGTTGAAAGCAGCTAGAAGTCCCTACTCCCAGAAGCCTTTTTGGTTCAGAGGCTAGACCAGCCAGTGATTGGCCGGTCAGAGGCTAGTCTACTTGGTGATTGGCCAGTGAGGGCCTCTAGTGCATGGTGACAGTAATTAGCACATGCTGTCCATTAACAAACGCAGATTAGGCATGAACCCACATGGCATTCTGCCACCTCCTTGGTGTGTGGGTATGTGTGGATAGAGCAATATTCCTGTGCCCTTTTTTATTGTTGATGATAGTGTTGGTCGAGGTTTTAGACTTTAGCACATGCACATATCTGTTGGTTAAACATCTATAATTATGTGTTTTTCTGTTTAAGTGTTTTAATTTACATGTGTGAGATAAGTGTATATTTGTGTTCAGTTCAATTTCCTTCAATGCTTCTGGTCAGTTTGGGAATTTAGGGAGAAGGGACACCTCCAAGCTTCTTTTGCTTCTGACTGATGAGATTGATTGACTGATGGAGACATGATATGTGGAAAGAGTTTATTTTTAAACATCGCCAATCTGTGTCCCTTCCCTTTTTTCCCCTTTTCAGAACTGTTTCTACATCGACCCTCCCCTCCTGGACTAGTGTGTCCGCCCTGCTGTGTGTGCTTAATGAAAGATAAGAACCGTCCTTTGCCACTAACACTGAGCCATAGACCCTCGGAGGACTGCACTAATCTGCTTGCCTCCTAATGGGGGCCACTTTGTGTCTGCCGAGGATCATTTCATATCAAACAAATTGTGTTCTGTGAAACCCATTACACATTAGGCCCTTTGGAGATGCTTTGCCCTTAACTGACACATAGAGGACATCTTTGGCCTGACTTTTGATGCTGCAAACATTTCTTGAGCTCTAGTAGTAAAAACTGGTCTGTGTGCCAAGTTGAAAGCTATCTGCGTCCTCAATAAAGATAGATAGAACTAAGCTTTAAATAATAAATAAGACAATCAAAAAGCAAAAAAAAAATAGTTATAAGATTGGAAGATAGAGGAAACTGAGGGGTTAATGAACTTTGATTTTCATTAAACATTCTCTCAGCTCTGCATACAGTCTCACACAATATACTTAGCATGTTAATAATTGATCCGTGAGTCTTTGCAAAAGCCAATGAACATTTTTAAGATTTGACGGGTTAGACTTTGATGGGTTTTTTTGTCCCCGCATTTTTATTGTCATTACACTGTAACAAGTACAGCAAAATCCACTATCTGCATTTAACCCTTCCACTTGGGGAGCAGTGGGGGGCCATATGCAGGTGCCCGGGTAGCAGTGTGGATTTAAGGGTCTTGCTTGGACAGCCCAAGTGGTAGTCTGTGGGAGAGGGTTTCGAACTCACAACCTCAGGATTCCAAGCCCTATGACCTGACCACTAGGTCGCCACTCCCCATTTGGGGCTTCAGGACTTCATCTTCATTATATTAGCGACACAAAGTAGCACGTAATGTGAGGATTTAGCTAAATGACCAATATTTTCTAATTGTTAGCAATAAAATCTGAAAAGTTTAGCCTGAGTCCCTTTTAGAACCATTATTCAATGCACTACAGAAATATTTTTAATTGCAACAGTTAGAAGTCTTTGAGCGCACACTGCTACCATTCTGCTTCATTCTAGCTCCATTCTCCCATTCTGAAGTATTTGTGAGTTCAATCTCTAACATTTTGCTCTCTCTGCTTTTTCTCATAGTAGCTTCATCTAGTCTGTTCCTGTTTGGCTTTGACACCATCCCGGACAGAAATATCAGCTGTGCTGCTGCCATCAATATCTTTGTTTATAGTGTAGGTGTTGGAGCTTTTCAGCGTAGTCCTGTTTCTCTGAGTGTGATAACTATATCTGTTCTCTTTATCCTCTGTAATGGGAGCTGGCTGGGAGCTTGTCTGCGTGGCCATGTGTGTCCTGGACGGGGTCGCCTATGGAGCTGGTTGACAGTTTCCTTTTCTTCCTCTGCTTCTTTCTATCCCTATGTCCTCCAGAAGTCTAAGCCTATAGCAGCATAACTATAGAGACTCTAATGATAAGCTTTATCAAAAAGGAAAGTTTTAAGCCTACCCTTAAAAGTAGACAGGGTGTCTGCCTCACAGACTAAAACTGGTAGTTGGTTCCACAGGAGAGGAGCCTGATAACTAAAAGATCTGCCTCACATTCTACTTTTAGAAACTCTAGGAACCACTAAACCTCAACAATAAGAGGGAAGTGCTCTGTTAGGAACATGAAGAACAATCATATATCTGATATAAGATGAAGCTTGCCATATAAGGATTTATAAGGGGAAGGAGGATTTTGAATTCTATTCTGAATTTAATATGTAACAAATGCATGCACCAGTTTCTCACCTGGTCAAGATGTTTCTAAATTTTACAATATTCCAGAGATGAAAGAAGGAAATTCTTGAAACCTATTTGATATGGGATTCAAATGACTGGTCTTGATCGAAAATAACACCAAGATTTCTTACTTTGTTATATGAGATTAATTTAATCCCATACAGATGAGGTGCATTGATTTATACAGAGAATTTGAATTACATTTTATAAGACTCCTGTGTCTTAGTACAATTGCAGTTGTGCTGTACGGTGTCCTGTATCTTACTATTTGTTGAATTTATTTTAGATATTTATTTATGAAGAAAATCCTTTTCCTTCCACTCAATCATATTGCACTTCTTTTTGGTGCAGCACATATAGATCATAGTAGAATTAATTAGAGTTTGTGGTTGTTACATAAAAAATATGTTTTGGGCATTTCATACAAAAACACAAAATGTTGAGTTTCGAGGTTCTAAATAAATTTTCAAACGTATTTATGGTAAAAAAAAAGCTATAATTTTAAGGAAATAGTGAGAAAACAATTTTAGGGAATGTGTTCGAAATATATATCTTCTCACCTTGCAAAACACAACTACTGCAGCATAAAGCAGCTGGTGCGAAATATGTATAGTAAATTTCTGTTTGTGTTGACAATAGTGTAAACTGTTAGGACGGTGTCACCCCATGTGCAGGTCATTGCTCTTAATGTTTATGTTATATATCTGTCGGTCTGGACTACATGCTTTTGTGTTTCTCTGTGCACTGCCCAGTGTGTGCTTGTGTCCCTAAGTGTATGCCATCAGTTCTGCAAGGGAGAAAACAGGGAGGGGAGAAACCAGAAAATGATCCAGGGCCGATACATATGAAACAGGAGGGCTCATACATAAACATAGCACCAAGGCCCCGGGGCCAGGCAATCTACGAGGCAAATTGCTCACCAGTCAGCCATGGAGGCCGTACTGTTTACTATGCATGAGGTCTTGTGACATGCTTTAAAGCCAGCCCTAAA